ATTACCTAGAGAAGGTGTAATATCCCTAAGTGTTGTGAGAGAATAGATGGATCTATATAGTGTGAGGTGAAAGTATACTGGCATTGTAAAGTTGAGAGCTGATGTTATGGAGAAAATATAAATTACTACTTTTAGGTTTGCAAACAAAGGGGATTTTGAAAGATAACAATGCTAAAAATATGAAAGAATATCTTAAAGGGACTAGATTGATATCATATAAGAAATTTGAACTGTCTAACTGCTGTGAAATACCTGGGTTTTTTTCTTCTATATTTTTATTGTTATAAAATTGATTAATAATAGTAATAGCAGATAGGATATAGAAAAAATGAATTGTTTATTGGAAACAGAATTTTACCTAATGATATCTGTTGTGGACTATAGATTAACAAAGGAAAAAAGGGAATTATGTATCTAAAGATGTTATGAACGAGACAATGGCTGGATACTTTTGAAGTGTATTGCTCTTTTTTGTTTTGTTTTATATAACTCTTTAAAAAACTAATAAACTTTGCCCATTAATAATGGGAAAGCAGAAAAAACCCACAATAATAAAACTTCTACTGAAAGGATACTAAACAAGCAGAACAATCTTGTGTCTCAGAAAGAAATCAATATATCTAGTTCAGAATAATGGCCCTAGAGTGCAGATCAAAAAAATTGGTATCATGTACAGATGTATGCATGTGTGTGTGTGTGTGCGTTAAGTGTCATCAAGTTGCTTCTGAGTTATGGCAACCCTATGAATTAATGACCTCCAAAATGTCCTTTCATTAACAGCCTTGCTCAGGTCTTGCAACCTGAGGACTGTGGCTTCCTTGTTTGAGTCAATCTGTAATCGAAAAATGTAATAGAAACAACTGGGGGTGGGTTAGAAGAAGAAGACTGGATTCTCAGAGTCTCAGGCTGTGGTCACAAACACTAAACAATCCACTTTCAATCCACTTTCCAACTGGATTTTGCCAGTTCACACAATAAAAATCCAGTTGGAAAGTGCACGGAAAGTGGATTGAAAGTGGATTATTTAGCATGTGTGACCGCAGCCTCAGAGTGGCTTACAAACTCCTTTCCCTTCCCCTCCCCACAACAGACACCCTGTGAGGTAGGTGGGGCTGAGAGAGCTCTTTCCAGAACTGTCCTGGAGAGAACAGCTCTGACAGAAGTATTGCTTGTCCAAGGTCATCCAGCCAGGTGCAAATGGAGGAGTGGGGAATCAAACCCGGTTCTCCCAGATTAGAGTCCGCGCACTTAACCACTACACCAAACTTGCTTAACCACCAAACTGGTTACCCCCTGCAAATGGAGGATGCTTACTAAGCTATTACAAAATTTTGCAAAAACAGCAGCATTGGGGAGGAAGTAGAAAAGGCTATCAGGAGAGGGGGGAGAAGAGGAAAGAAAGAAAAGGCTGGGGGAAGAGAGAGAGAGCATAAAATGGAGGGGACAGCAAGTGGAGAAAGGGCTGGAAAGACACAAAGAATAAGGCCAGTGGGTCCATGGGGGATCTCCCTTCCCCACTAGAGTTTGAATCCCTCAGCATGTCACTTACTATTTGGAATGCCCAGTCTGCGCTGTTCCTTGATGAAGCCACTGAAAGTTGCTTTTAGAGCTTGACTCATCACAGCTTTACTGCATGGGGTTAAGAGTGGCAATTCACAGCCATTTGATTCTGAAAGGCATAAAAGTTGCAATGTTTTGGAAAGTGAGAGAGGGAAGGGAGAAAATCTACTCCAATACTTACAGAAAAAGCAAAGGAGGAAAGAAGTAAACGAGACAAACAAAACAAAGGAAGTTTGGATCAAACCTATCCATACTATAATAATAGTACTATCCATACTATAATAATCCATACTTCTATTTTACAGAAGTAGTTAATGGTATAGCTTCATAAATGATATCTGAACAGCATATGTGATTGAAGAGAAGGCAAAATGTTTTGCATTCAAGTTCCATTCAGACATCACAACAAATTATGGTTTATTTCTTCAGTCAGTCTGCTGCTTGCATCCTTTTCTGTCCCCAAGCAGAATCCAAAGAGGTGATTCCCAGCTTCCTTGCTCTGCCAGACTTATGGTAAGCCTCACTATGTATGCAGCTTGCTTCTTATTGGTCAGCTGCAATAAATGAGACCGTAGGGAAATACGCCTCTGACAGGCTAAGATGCCTCCTCTTCTTTTGGCTAAGGATTAGCAGTGTCCCTCAACATTCCTTTTTAGCTGCTTCACTGGGTTCCTGAATTCTTAAAACACTGAAACCCAATATATATTTTACAGCTCTACCCCACCTTTTCTTCCTTGTCATTTTGCTTCCTTTTTAATTCCCCCTCAGCGCTCATATAGCTTGTTTGCTTGGAATGGCTTCCTCATTAATTTCAATACAAAAAGTCAACCAGTGAGGCAGCCTTATTTTGTGCACACCAAACAACTTCCTAACAGAGGACCTATGAATATAGAATAACAAGATGCAAATCTGATTGCATACTTCTAGATTTCAGCAATAGTACAATAGTTGCAAACATCATTTGTGTGCTGTTCATCAAGAAGTTTACTGCATAAGCCCCAATGAAATGAATAGGAGATGAACCCAACCAACAACTCCTCTAGAACTGCTCTGTTCATTAAGTGCAGAACCTAGTGAATGGCATCTTCTGCAGAATTCCTCATGTAAGCAGTAAGATATTTCAACCTTGTCAAGGTATCTGATTCTATAAAGTGAAAGATAAAACTGCAACATTTATAAAACCAATATTTACCATAAGAAATAGAATCAAGGCCTGTTGGTACTTCTTGCAGTGTCTGGTCTTCATTTAATGATGGAAAATATCCAGTAAACAAAGAGTTTGCACCTTCAAAATTATCAAATGCAGGCTGACGCTGAAAAATAAGTTTGAGAAAAGATTTCAAGTAAACATTCTCTTACTTCCACAGTATTGTTAAGGTGTTGTGACAAAGCAATCAAGTTCTTAAATCCTCATGTCCAAGGAAGTAAATTAACCAAGGAGGTGTCTTGCTTCTGTGTTCTGAAACTGGTGTAGAACACCAATATTAATTATTGCAGTAGGACTCTTAATATTTGCATTTTATTCTAAGGAATTCTATATGTTTTCTTTTCCAGAACACAGGCAAACTGAACAGGATACAATTATCATTTAATGCTTACAGTATATAATGTTGTATTAGGGGGTGGGGAGGAAGGGACTAGGGAAGTTGTAGGAGACCATAGTCAGTTTGACATTCAAATACTATTGACATTCAATGGAATCTGAACATAATGTTAATTGCACTCTTTAGAAGGCAAGGTAATGCCTGAATACTTGTTTCTGTGATTATTTTTCTCCTTCAGTAGATTCCCAAGAACAAAGCCAAATACTAGTATAACTCTATGAAAAATTCACTCCAAAAATTCACTCCAATCCATAAAGAGCACACGAGCATTTCTATTATATTTGTGCCTAATGTGTACAAAAACCTATTTCATAAAGAAAATTAGACACAGCTCTTTCCCCCCCACTCCCCTCTACAGGATCACAGAGCATTACTACTCTTGAGACAATAGTAGGAAGCCAGAAAGATTACAGTTCATTCCAGTTTGAATAACAATGAAAGAACCCTAGTGAAGTGTTCTTTTACATTAATCGTAACTGGATGGTTTGCTAAGGTTTGAAGACACAGTTCCACAAATAATATAATGAAATCTACCACACTTCCTCAGTACTGAGTCTATTGTCTCTCTTTTCCCCCACAAATTATTCATCCCTTTTATTTACTATCTCAAGTCATTATCCAAAGAAGTTTTTGTACCAAGTTTGCCACATTTGCTAAAGAATTGCTACTAATATAATAATTTAGTTCACAAACGTATGCCACACTCTTAAGTTGCAATACTAAACACACTTACTAGAGCGTAAGTACTATTTAACAATAGAATTTACTTGAACTGCTAGGCTAGACATGTGCATCCAATGACTTTTTGAAGTGCCGATTATCAGAAAGTCAAAGTGGTTTGGTCTACAACAAGGAAACCATTCATGTTCACATTATGCCACTAAGAAAATTCAGTTTGAGGAAATCAGTTGAGCTCTTTGTTGTATAAGTGAAATGGTTAATAATAAGCCAGCTGTCGGGCCTTCTAACAACATAAATTCTTTCAGTGTTAACAGATAAAAGATGAGTCATCACCAATACCTGGGGAAAAGGCCAAGCACTTTCAACATAATCTGGAAACTCCTGTGTTTTGTGTAAATATGTGACCCTTATACTGAGTCACTGGAAAAACTGTAGTCGCCAAAGAGTGAGTAAAAGGCATGTTGTACTGCAAACATTATTCTGCATTTTTTAAACATGAAACTAAACAGTACAGTGAGTGTGTTTAAAGCCATACATGGAATAAAGTCTACTAGTCACATGAACCATAATTGATCCATGAAGGGTTTTCTTTCCCCCCCTATGCCACAGCAGTCATAAATAGTGCACAAATCCTGAAGGTGAAACTGTTCCCTGCAGGCTGTTGTGAATCAACCACTGTACCTCTAACATGCTTTGTGCCTAATCTTCTAATGGAGAAGATAGCCCCAGCTAATAAGCATCTGCCATAAGATGCTTATGGTTTATGTTGTTATAACCAAGTGGAAACAACCCCTTCACAGTTTATTACTCAATTTAGTAATTTCAGTAAGTTATTCTATCAGTAGTTCCCTGAGAACTTGCACTTCAGGCAGTATGAACAAAAAAGAATTTTAAAAGATGGCTTAGGCTGCGGTCACACGCAACATTAGCCATGCAAGAGATACGGAAGACAAGCGGAGTTTCCGGTCGCGATCTCACCAGCACATCTGGGAAGCGTAGTGCTTCCGTGGCACAACTGAGGCTTCCTGCCGAAAAAGCGCAGCAAAAAACTAGTACCTTGGAGGTACTAGTTTCCAGAAACTGCGGGGCAAGGGCGCCCTGAGAACTTGCACTTCAGGCAGTATGAACAAAAAAGAATTTTAAAAGATGGCTTAATTTATTTCTTGTGACAACAAGCAATCAATAGAAATACTTAAAAGACATTTAAATGACTGTGGGAGCAATCATAAGAAGGTCTGCTCAGAAGTAAGTCCTGTTTTTTTCTCAGTGAGACAGCCACAGATTACTATGAAAGGATTCTAGCAAAATGTTTAGCAAAAACTAGTCTCCTCGACTTATGAAATCCCAAAAGAAACCTAATTACACCTTGAAACGTAACAAATTTATTGTAGAAAAGGCTTTCAAAGCATCTGCCAAAATAGAAATTTTAGATCTGAAAGACCATTGTTCTTACTGCACTAAGGGGAGGGGCTGTGGCTCAGTGGCAGATCATCTGCTTTGCATGCAGAAGGTCCCAGGTTCAGTCCCTGGCATCTCCAGTCAAAAGGCTGAGCCAGTAGGTGATGTGAAAGACCTCTGCCTGAGACCCTGGAGAAGGGCTGCCAGTCTGAGTAGGCAGTACTGACTTTGATGGACTGAGGGTCTGAGGCAGCTTCCTGTGTTCACTATAAAACAAAATACCAATGGTAAAGACTAACATATATTTCAATATAAACTTTTGTGACTCATGCTGAAATATATGTTATTAGTCTTTAAGGTGCCACTGGACTTTTGATTTATTTTGCTACAATAGACTAACATGGCTACTCCTTTGCAATCTTGCTGCAACAATCTAATACAACTGCCCCTAAAAAAGAGGATTTGTTAAATCGATGTCAAAGCAACCGATATAATTTCTCAGATATTCAGATTTTTAAATATAATCAATTGTATTCCAAAATGCGACTTAGTTATCATTGTATTAATCTTACTTCGATTATCTAATGGTATTTTCACACTTTTACAGCTTTCTTTCAGAGATGACCAACCAGTATTTGGCTTTTAAGTCTGCAGAGCAAATTAAAATTACAACCATTTCATTATTTCATTCTAATATTAATGGAACATATTAAAAGCAGTAATTCAGTGGCTTCATTCCAATGGCATCGCAAAATGTTATTTTCAGTTGTAACTGAATTTCCAGAGTTTCATACTAACTTGTACAAGAGATATGCCCTTAGTAGAGATTAAATTGCTTGTCACAAAAAAAAAAATCTGTTTTTCAGAACTCACCATGAGCACTCCTCTGTACATGTTGCATACAGGTGCTACCTGATCCATGTTCTTGATTCCAAAGTTACTCATCTAAAAATGGAAACAGAAAATGTTTTTACTGAAAGAAACAAAACAGTCCTCCATTTATGATCAAACACTTATTCCTGCACACAAACATATCATAGATGAGTATTACTGAACTCTTTCATTTTTCATTAATGATAGAATCTGAATGAGGCAAATCCAGATCTTTCATGTATAGAAAACTATAGCTATGGCACCAAGAACCTAGAACCAGAGTAATACACATCTAGTTCTGGATGCTCCCACCCCCAATGCCTCAGGAAACCCTCCTTTCCAAGTGCCAAGAGTTTCACAAGCACTACATGATATGGTATTTAGTCCTGTAATTCAAAGGGGAAGGAAACAAAACAAAAAATCTAAAATTAACAAAAAAATCCACTGGACTTGCTATGGCCTTAGGTGCACCAAATGTAGCTCAGAGACACTGCTACTTTTAAAATGAATGGGACTACAAGTGAAGGAGCCCTTGGATGTACAAAAATCCAGGTTCAAATTCCCACTCAGCCATGAAACACACTTAGCACCCAAGTTGTTTACCGATTACCTGCTAGATAAAGACAATTTACATAATCGCTCCAGAGTGTTCTGTAACTTTTTCACATATGTACAGGAGAGGGTGGCTCCTCTCATCCATACCATTTGCACCCTCTGAACACTAGTTGGTTCAATGATGGGGATGTATCCAGTGCACTTTTTCTATACCCTTAAATCCATGGCATATGGCTTTCCACGTCAGTTTAAACAACTGCAGCAACTGTTGGCAAAGGCTGCTGCTGACCTCAATTTAATGTTTTCTATGCAGATAGTGATTTTTTAAAAAAATCACATCTTTATATTAATATTTTCAAACAATTTGATTTTTGCTTCACTTCACATTCAGCCTCTCTTTGAAGGTGCATAGGGTGGCCCTTTTGAATTTCTATTAACAGTGTTAGCGGAATGTATATTATTTTCACTGCCTGAAATATGCATATTAACAATAAATAATTTGAAATTATACTGTCAGCTAAATCTAATAATACAGAGTCATCACGGGCAACTGAATACAAATGCATGCGTAAAGCAGTATTTCCAGTAACTCCTTAACAGTAATTTCAAATTAGCATGCATGTAGATCAAACAGAATTATTACATTACTCAGTCCTTAAAAAGTGCCTCACTTTGGGCACATTATAGTGGGTACACAATATAATGGAGCCAATGTAAGAAGCAAGTAACTTGGAATTTGTTTTAACGGGACATTCTAAACTATGAAATTGTTGTTTAAGAGACCAATGACACAACTGTAACCAGCATCCCATCCTAAATTAATGCATTTGTTAACGTATTTCTTAGATGTCCTTGGTTCTATACAAGTATGCTCAGGATCTTTGCCACTTGATTAAAACAACTGCTACAAAATATTTTAATGAACCCATCTGCAGATTTTTACAAGACTTTAGCAAGGTACATTCATGATCTTCCCATCCCAGATGTCACCTGTAGTACCCTCAGTTACCCCAAAAGCCCCTTAAAGGTCAGCACTAGAGGGCCAGTTCAGTTTTAGAAATCATTACTTCTCCATTGGCCCTATAGTAAAATTGGGCCCAATTTGCTTGGATGGCTTATATCTGGCAGCAATTATGCTATCAATACAATTATAAAGAACAGTGGCCAAGGATAACAACAGCAGACGCCATTATAATAGGGATAAAATTACAGTCTATAATATTTGTACTGTTAATGTGGGTTTCCTAACTGACAGTGAAGTTATATCCTTCTAACTCAATGAAGTTATATCCTTCTAACTCAATTAAAGTTAATGGGCTTAGAAAAGTTTAACTCTAGGATTGTACTGTAATTCTATTAAAACTATATTTGATGGAATTGTGATAAAACTTGGGTACACTTAGTCAATAAGCAATGCTCAGAGAGGCTATAAAGCTAGCTTGTGGGGCGTTGTTCAGTTTGTCACAGTGACAGACAATGAACATGTTTGCTTTATCGAAATGCCTTGGCATGATGTGGGTTTAACCCTTCCCTTCAAGTTTGGTCGAATATTTTTGGACAACATCTAGAAACGCATGTCCATTAAAAATGCTATTTTTAAAACAAAGTCTTACTCCTTGACACCTTCCAAGGGTATTAAATTGCACTTCATTTTACTGTAGTTTTAAATTGATACATTTTTAAAAAATTAAAAGTACAAAGTTAAAAGTGAAACAACCTAGCTTTTTCCAATCCTTGACAATAAAGTTTGCAATACATTTTAGCTTAGCATTATTGTTAATTGTCCCTGCATACAGGACCTTAAATGACTGAAAATATAGAATAGCAGTAAAATCAAGAAATTAAAAGTCAAGATGACATACTGCACTATCCAAGTAGAAAAGAGCTGATAATTAGGTTGGGATATGTGTGTGTATACACACACACACACATATCTGGTAGATGTTTTCAAATGCATACCTGGTATTCTCATCCCAATCCTATGGTACCATTGCTATTCTTAAAGGAACTCCATTTTTAAAAACATACTTTAGCCTAAAGAAAATATTTTTTCAAAGAATTTTGTTTGGCCACAGAAGTCTAAAGGAGTTATTGATCTTTCTGAGGTTCAGGAGTTAGCCATAACTGAATTGATATAACAATCTGATTTTTCAGTTGTGAACATGTTCCTGTGGGCATACAACCCAGAAATATCAATATCAATCTTCTATAAATAGTGCAGAATATTAAGAATCACTGATTAAACAATTAGATGGAACTTCTTTCAGTGAATTTTAAATAAATAAAACTATTGACCATTTAATGCCTACATAGTCAGTACTTATGTGCATGTATTTGTACAGGTAAGTTTCAGAAATCCTCACTGTGAAGACTATGTAATGTGTCTCCAGAAGGTCATCAGTATGAATATGCATAGCCACCCATCATATATGTAATACCTGCCTGCTTCCTATGTAAAAAACCCCCCACTAGTATGGGGAAAATGTTAACATCCTTTCACATGTTATATAGTAATAATGCCCACTGGTAAGTAGCAGTTATTTTAGGTTCACAGATACCAACAGCTCCGTAAAACTGGGCCTCATGACAAGACTCCTCCACCAAATATCAGAGGCTGCTATTTGTCTTACTAAAAATGGTCAAGCAGCAGAACATCTTCTGAAACACAAATGCATGTGGGCGCCCTCCAAATACAATTAATCAACAAGTATTGGTTAACTTCCTCATAGCCATCAATGTGCGTAATGCTTAGAGGCTATCTTGTGGCACCTTAAACAAGTACAGTCTATAGTTCATTTTTAAGGTGCCCTGAGACTTTTTATTGTGTTTTGGCTACAAGAGATTAACATAGTTACTCCTTTGGAGTGTATGAGATTTGACTATCCAGTAATAAATCACAATTTCAGTACAATAATGTGATCATATTACAAATGTAAGGCAATCAGAAGAATTTGGGGGGAGGGGATGAGATCTTCAAGTATTTTTTCAAATTGACAAGTGAACAATCCTATAACTATACTAAGAAAATATAAACGTGGAAAACTTTAAATACAGAAAAACATGCGTCATTCATCTCTAGTCTCTTTTACTTGTGTGAAAATGTCATCCAATTATTCAAATTGTACTGTATACATTCTAGTTCCTTTTCAGGGACTTCTTTTTTAAGTTTAAAAGCCTCAGCCACGGAAGCATTTGGGAACAATTCCTCGAACAAAATAGGAAATAACAGCTCAAAAAAAGATTCCTGTCTTTGATTGCGATGCAATTATTCCTCTTCTCCCCCCCCCCCTACCCACCTGTCTCCCTACTTGGCTGCTTGGCATATTTTTCAGATAACATCAATGGTCGAAATCCCGAGTCCACCTGTGAATACTCCAAAAACGCTTACAAAAAAGCGGAGACCGGTCACTCTCCAGGCAAATAAACGAAACGACCGCTTCGATGCTCGCTAAGACTATGCCATGCACTCACATGACAGCAGGCAATGTCTCAAGAAACAACGAGAAGAACTGCGTTGTGGATCTCTAGCTAAGCACACATCTGGACTTGCCAGATGTGCTTCAGCCACACAATGAGAAGAGAGCCCCTAGCGCACAGGCTCTCCAGGATGACAAACGTGGCTCAAACTCTGGCCAGAAACCTCAGATACCCATTTAAAATACACGAGAAGCGTAAGGGACAACCTTGTGTGTGTCCTTAAATGGCCCTTAATGCTCTCTCGCCCACCTGCCCGGTGGCTGGCGCCGACTTTCTCGGCCAAAGACAGCCGCGGCCACCTTCCCACCGCCAGTCACGAGACGCAGGCTCACCTCTCATTCTGCCCGGCCCGTGAGTCACCCGCCTTTTCTCCCCAGCAGGCACAGCCCCCCTCCCAATCCCACACCACAGCCCAGGAGGCAGCCTCCTTCGAGGTCTCTCACCTGGAGCCCCCCGAGCTGAAGTTCAAGAGGCGCCCTCTCCAGCCGTAAGCCCCCCGTCCAAAAGGTGGTGATGGTGCTGCTGGTGGTGGTGCTGCCGCTGCACCAAAATATCCTTGCGCGGCAGCCGAAGGCACACTCTACACAACACGACGTTATCCCACGACGGCTCCCGAAGAGGAGACGACACACAGAGCCAGCTGAGGCCAGTAACGGGGGCGGGGGGAGAGGGAAGCACGTAGCCAAAGTCCGAGGGCGCGCAGGAGGAGGCCCGTTTGCGACGGAGCTCACGGTTGCAGCTGCGGGTGGCCCTGGAGGGAACGCGTAGTGCCGGTCCGAGCTGAGCACGCCTGGCTCTTGACTGGATGACCGAGGGAGGGAGGCGGGACTCGCCGCTTTCTGGCCCGGCCCGCTCGCGTCTCCTCCTCCCACCGAGAAAGAACAACTGCTGGTGGCCGCTGCGGGGTGGTGCTGCTGCCTCTCTCTTTCTCTCTCCCGTCGGCTTCCTTCCCTCTGCACCCCCCTACCCCCCCCCCCGCAGCAGGATGGGCAGTCTGAGGGGTCTTTTGCCTCCTCCCTGGCTAAAATCAAAAGAAGGCTGGTGGCTCCATAAAGACGAATCAATATTCGCATCAACATTCGTGGTTGTGCCCCACTGTGGCTATTTTCTTGCTGGCTTCCTTAGCAAGAAGGGCCTGTGGGGCTCTGAGAATAGATGCCGAACAAAACAAAGCAGAGGAACAGAATTACCTGAGTCATTTAAGAGAGACCCATCACTTAAGGGTTTCTTCTAAATTGTTACATTCTTAAAGTATATGTGTAGCTTTACAAATTATGGAACTGTGGCATATTTATCTGTGGGAAAAGTACATTGTGGCCAGTCCAGCACAAAGGCTCCACAGTGTCACACTCAGGGGTTGTTGAAATAAATGTTACACTTCTTGCACTTACTTTATTATCAGGAAGTTACTTCTGTGGCACACTGTACTATGATGGACCAGAACCGTACCACATAAATAAGAGATGATGTGGGGTGGGGGAACTGTGATTAAGGGTAGCCAAACCTACTGCCCACAGGGTAGGGCTGTGAGAATAAAATGGGAAGCTTTGTGTATGCCACCCTGTATTCCTCGGAGGAAGGGAGTGGTACCAGTTTGATTAAGAAGTAAACAAACATGCATTGAAAGACAGCTCTTTTTACTGCTCTTTAATTAGTCAGATGAACAAAAGCATTTAATAGAACAAAGTTTGAGTCCAGTGGCACCTTCAAGACCAGCAAATTTTAATTCTGGGTATAAGCTTTCACATGCACCCGATGAAGTGTGCATGCACGTGAAAGCTTATACCCAGAATTAAACTATGTTGGTCTTGAAGGTGCCACTGGACTCAAACTTTGTTCTGTTGCTTCAGACCGACATGGCTATCCACCTGAATCTAAAAGCACTTAATGTTTACTAAAGGACAATCTATCTTGAACATACAGCCTATGTCAAAAATAAAGGAGTATCACCAATATATATCAGATCCCGCCACACAGGAAATCATACATGTTTTAGGCATTGATTCTATTTTGTGTTATTGCTAATTTCTATTTCTCTAATATATCACGAGACGGGAACCGTAAGATAACTTGTTGAAACTGGTGATTCTTTCAGCTTCCTTGGCTGGTACCACTCATTTGCATATATGGCATTGAAGCTTCCAGATTTCTTAATAGAAATGCTATAACATAAATGGACCGTATGTGTAGAGAGCAACAAAATTCCCCTTTTCATTCCACACCCAGGAAACAACAAAGGTAACACTCACATGTAAGGATGCAGCTGGTTTAGGGTAATATAACTGAAACCACATAGGGCTATTTTACTATCATTAATAGTTACTGTGGCTTGCTCTTTAACCATACGGTGGGCCACAATAATCTTTAATAGTAATCAGGGGTCATTTCCTGCAGGAGCGCACAGGAACGGAGCTCCGGCAGTAAAGAGCCCAGAGGGCGGGCACATGCAACAAGCCCCACCCCCTGCTCCCAGCAGCCCTCAGTCAGAGCAAGAAGCAGCCAGGTAAGTTGCAGAGCTCCTCCCGGCCCCCCAGTCCAAAACAGTCCAGTGGCACCTTTAAGACCAAGTTTTATTCAGGTACAAGCTCTCCCTCCTCTACGAGGACAGATCTGCACGTTCCCCCCGCCCCAATAGCTAGCAATCCAAAACAGTCCAGTGGAGCCTGAACGGTGGGTGTTGCCTTCTGACACACTTCCAGTGATGTCAGGGGTTGTGGCATATGCAAATAAGTTATGCTAATGAGTTATGCTAATGAGCTCCTGCACCTCTTTTTTTACTAAATGACCCCTGATAGTAATAAAATGATTTGGTATGCCTCTGGATGTCTATGCTATCAGAAGCAAGCAATGTATATGATAGGAGGTGCATCCTTGAGAGATACATTGCAATCTAAAATGCTTACATAGGTCTATAACGTATAAATTAAAAGAAAAAAAGTAAATAGTTGAACAAGACAGTGTTCCCAGTGGGGGCACCAAAGCATACCCCTGTCTGACCTGCTTCTCAAGGCCTGTGCTTGTTCTCTTATCCCAGCGGACATATTTCGTAACACTAAAATGTTTTCCTCATGAAAATGATGATGTGGTGGCCAGTAGTGAGAACAAATGTGCCAAAGAACAAAATATAGTAATTGGGACTGGAAAGTTGATGCAGGACTCCATGTGAGTATCTAGGTAGATACTTGGGAAATAGCAATTGCACTTGCAAGAGGGTGCCTAATGTGCCAAAGAACAAAATATAGTAATTGGGACTGGAAAGTTGATGCAGGACTCCATGTGAGTATCTAGGTAGATACTTGGGAAATAGCAATTGCACTTGCAAGAGGGTGCCTGTTGGATCCCCAAGCATCGAGAATAAATCCACGTTTCAGAAAAGCAAAATTTATTTCAAAGCTTTGGAAAGATATTCAAACAAGTCCTTTGTTAGGAATGGGTACAAACAGCCAGGGCAAGTATAATAAAGGGATTTGAACCAGGTACCGAACCAATGGATCACTTTCCCGCTGGCGGGTAAAGGGAAACGGTTGCGCGCTCAATCCCTGGGAACACTACTATCTCCAGACATAATACAGGTGCAGTTCCCAGGCTCTAAAGGCAACAAGCTAGCATTCAAGCTCTCCTCCTACACCACGTCCTCCAGATGTTCGGCTTAGCATTACAGCAAAATAAAATACAGGCTAGCAGGGAGAGG